GTTGGCTCTCGTGGCCCAAGTGGTCTAGTGGATAACGCTTTGGCGTTTGAAACTATGGGCACTGGGTTCGAGCCTCAGTGGGACCATCATCACTCACTGAGAAATGCAGGTACATCCAGCTGGCTGACGAGTCCCAAATAGGATGAAATGCGCATCCTGGATTCCACTGCTAGCCACCATCCACCAAGATTTGATAAATCACACATTAGTGTTATACAGTGATAATAACTGATGACAACGTTTCGAGCACAAATTATTGCCACTCATAATCATATCAAGACACCACTCACGCAACCTTTTCCTCCTAATAAACATGTGTGGAATTGACCAGGTATTTGAACAGAAACCAGTATATATTTGATATTTTTGATTACAGCTTGATTCCACACTGCATTTTTGGTACTAGTATGGAATTTTCAGCATGGATATCGGTAGCCCAAATTTTGCAAGCCGAACATAGATATCAAAGTGTGCGTCGGCAGGGGGTTCGAACCTGGACCATGTGCATGGTTGGCGAGAGTCCTAACCACTGTGCCACCGACGCAATGTGATGATGTACTTTCAGAAATAATAACATGAGTGTTATTGATCAATTACAACCAGATGGGAAATAAGACGAGTGTTTTTATAGTCATAATAAGTTACTTGTTAGAATGTTGTGATGTGTGTACTTGAATTGAAATAGAATTTTGAGATTATTTATTATCCTCTTCCGATTTAACTGACTGACTGGTGGTAGTAGTATCTTCCATACACATTCCTGGTATTTGTATTGAGTCAATTCTGTTCCATGCGTTGGGTGTAGGTTGACCCTATGAACCAGGATTCATCAATCAATTTCTCTCCCTATCCACCTACATAGATTACTTCTTAGAACATTAACCCTCTCCCACCCTATTGTGTGGTTGTGTGTTAATCCATGCAGTGCAATAGCTGAGCTTTTTTTCTAAATTACTCATCTCTTCAGGGTCAACCATTCTTTCTTGAGCTAAATTCTTATGTTCCGACAAACTGATTACCCCCGATCTACTAGTTCGACCTATACAGTTGACCTCACAGTCATTCCAGGGTATTTTGTAAATTATATCATTTTGGGTCCACCGGGTCTTTAATCCTACAGAGCTTGTCTCTGAGTGGGTTTGTAGGTTAAAATGCCACCCTAATTCCTGGTTTATTAAGAATCCTACGTAGGGAGAGTTTCATATGTCCCCTCTTTATATGGCATAACAGTAGATGTCTTATATTCTCTCTTATTTATGTTATCACTACTAGTTTCACAATTATTTTTAATTTGCTTCTGACCTTTTTCGATCTTCCTGATGAATTTTATAGGATAATTAGTTATTTAACACCAACGCCTCTTCTGTCTGTTTTATTTCATCATTTAGATATTTTCCTGTGCTACGTAGTGCTATGGCTTGGTTTTTTAGACACCTAACTAAGAATGCCTCCACAGTTAGATGACGGATGAGATGAATTAAAGTCAAAATATCTATTTCCAGAATGCGTTGGCTTTTTATAAACGCTGGTGTGCAGTTTACCTTCTTCTATTCGTTTTATTCTACAATCTAACTTCATAGCTAATTCTCCTTGTTCATTTTCCGATTCAAATGTGAATTTTATTCCCTCTGCTAGTGAGTTTATATGTGTGAAGAAGCTAGAGATATGTTCTGTCTCTCATCTTCTCCAGCTCACAATAACCTCCTCCATATCACCCACAGACCCACGTCCACCTCATCGTTTCCCATTTTGGCTTCCATTTGACAGATGTTGACAAAAGTCTGCACTAGCCTGTTGGAAATGCTTTTCGTGCGCCACGTTGAACAACTTTCTGAAGTTGTGACTCACTTAACACTCTTGTTTTGAAAACCCAGATCATGTTCTTTATGCTGAGTAGAGAGTATTTCCCAGCTGATTTCAAATTGATGGAAGTTTGTCTTGCCTTCCTGATTCTAGGTTTGACATCTTCATCCGCTTCGCCAGTAGTTGAAATGACGCTTCCTAGCCAGATAAGTGAAGGCGGTAACCTCTGTTAAATCTCTCCCGTTGATGTTGATCGGTGCCAATTGCTGTTAACGTTGCTGGTTGGTTACCTTCATCATCCTCCCCTTCTCTATGTTCACCTGGAGTCTTATCTTCGCTCCCTGCCTCGCCTCTTCAGCTAGTATGTTGATATTCGCCCGTAAGTCTTCCAGTCTGTGTGACATTAAACATAAATCATCTAAGCGTCAAATCCAGATCTTCTAGAGTCTTCGTATCGATCCAGCACAGTCCTGTCTTCTCGCCCTATACACAGTCTTCCTCATAATCCAGTCTACAACACAAAGGATCATCATCGGTGATAATAGGCAAACAGACTTGTTATGACTTTGAGTGAGGTCAACTACATAGGTCAGTCAGACCAGTAGGTCGGTGTTAGTCAGATTTTAAGAATATAAGAATTTAGCTAAGGTTAGAATGGTTGACCCCACCCGGGAAGATAAGTAATATAGAAAAAAACCCTCAGCGATTGCACTCCACGCATTAACACACAATCACACAATAGGATGTGAGGGAGAGGGTTAAGATTCTTTTAACTAATCTATGTAGGTGGAGACAAATTGATTACTGAATCCTGGTTCATTGAGTCTACACACAACACAACACATGCAAAAGAAATGACTCAACGCAAATACCACGGGTATGTGTGATAGATATTGTTACCATCAGTCAGATCAGAGGAGGATAATAAATAATGTTAAAATGTATTCAGTTCAATTCCCATTGTAACATTCTAACAAGTTATTTATTTATTTTACTATAAAAGCATCTTATTTCCCATCTTATTGCATTTGGATGATAACACTAATATAAATATATGTGTAAAACTTGAGCATTGTGGTAATAAGTAATTCCATATTAGTCTGTTTATTAGATGTATCACACAGTCACTGAAACAGTATTATTATTCACTGGATGACAGTTTCGAACACAATCTATTACTGTTCATAATCATTTCATCAATTATAATCACACGACTTCGAAACTTCACTTTCATAATTTTCTTTGTCTTCTCCCATTTGTCTTCGTAGGGGTATTAGAATTTTCCAGATATCTGGGTTTATAGGTGTTGAATCATTCCTATTACACGTGTTTGCAGTTGATTCGATAAGTAAAGCTTCTGTTATTAATCTCTCCCCCTCCACCTCGACATTACGTTAGATTTTATAACTGTCATCGTATCCCATCCAGTCTATTGTATGGTTGTGTGTAATTGCATGTAGTGAGTGATATAGCTGAACTATTCTCTAGATTTCTTATCTTATTCGAGTGATAATGATAATAATAATTATTATTATAACGACGACATGCATGTCAGCTATGCACAAGACATCACCAACAATAGAGAGTCTAAATCATACAAGGAAGGAACCTCGGAAATCACCTTACGCAGAATTCTTAACAAGGCAGACAGGAATAAAAGTGGCTACCATTCAACCCACCCACAAACTCAATTAGAAACAACCTTTGTCGGTTAAATAATCAACCTTGTGGAGCCTTTAAAACAAAACAATTTAGTTTATCTAATACCCTGCCTGAAATGATTGTCAGGTCAAATACATAGGTCAAACTGGTAGAACAGGGTCAGTCAGTCAGACTAGCCGAACAAAAATACCTAGCAGCTAAATCTAGATTGGTTGACCCGAATAAGATAAAAAATCTAGAGAATAGTTCAGCCATAGCACTCACTACATGCAATTACACACAATCATACAATACGATAGGATGGGATAAGATGACAGTATTAAAATCTAATGTAACAGGGTGGAGGGAGGGAGAGATTGATAAGAGAAGCTTTGTTTATCGAACCATCTGCAAATGCATGTAAAAGAAGTGATTCAACACCTGCCCACCCAAACATCTGGAAAATTCTACTACCCCAACAAGGACAAATAGGAAAGGACAAAGAAAACTATAAAACTCAAGTTTCGAAGTTGTGTGATTATAATTGATGATATGATTATGGACAGTAATAAATTGTGTTCTGAACTTGGTCATCCAGTAAATAATACTGTTTCAGTGACTGTGTGATACATCTAATAAACAAACACACTAATAACACTAATATTATTTCCGAATGTACTTTCTCATCTTATATTGATTTCGTTCAAATGTCTAATCATCAATTTCTACTCATGTAAATAAACGAAGTTAGAACGTTGTATGAGCAGTGGCTTGATATGATGACGATGAGCAGTAGTAATAAATTGTCCTCAAAAAGGTGATCATCAGTGTTATGTACTCGTCGCTAAATTATTGTTATGGACTGGTCGAGAAACTAATCAATAGTCCTGACGTAAGAAGGCGGAAATCAGAAGACCACTAGGTTTGCGATGATACTTCTATTTTCCAAACACAAGGAGAAGCAATAAGTGGTATCACACCAAAGTAAGTAAGTGTAAGTCACAATATTGTGAGAACGAAATATATATATGAATGTTCAGACAAAGGTGTGAGCAATCATTAGACAGTCTTAACATGAATGGCTAATTATAATGAAGTATCGATCCATATATACATAGCGAAATATAGCAGACATGTCAACAACCACCATATATGGATATATGTCACCAAGCAACGGACTGTCAACAAACACTCATATTATATATGATATAAGGGGAATATACATTGTTAAAGGAGACAGGTTCATCAAAGTGAAATGGTCACAGACCAAGCGAGGAAACAGAAAGAGAGACCAACATACACACACACATAAATATATATATGTGTGGATACATATCAATCAGCAAATAATACTATATAACATTGTGTGTGACTTAATCAAAATAAAATTGTCGCTATAAAGGAATTGAAACTTGATCAATCAGCAGTCACTTAGAGCACTCATATATGTGTTATAGATTTAAAAACGTATTCTTTTCGTCTTATTTATTCAACGTTGAATTCATCTCATTTCAACAGCATTCCCTCTTCTTTTACCTCGTCTGCCTAATTTACAGCTTCAAACGAATGTCTATGAAAGAGTTGCCGATATTTCACTACGTCAAGAGGATTTTCAAAATCAGCTGACAAATATTGAAGAGATGTTACAGAATATACAGGTGAGATTTACTTTAGAAGATTTTTAAAAAAAATCTATAATCTCCATTGAAACGTAAAAACAAAAAATGGAGCCAAGAAAATTCTCTCTTCAACTATTTCATTTTCACAGCTGTAAAATTGTATATATATTACTATTATTATTATTTCCTTTAATTGCTAGAGGAATAGAGGAACGGTCACACGTCTCCATTGGGTTCGGTTCTCTGCCAACGTTTTCACCTGACTCCAAGCCTGACCACATGCTTTCATCTCCTCTTCACATGACCTCCTCCACGTCACACTTGCACCAACTACCAACTGGCCGCTTCCCGTTCGGATTACACTCTGGGGCTTGTCTAGTGATGTTAATTGATGGTTTCCTCAGAGTATGGCCAGCCAATCCACCTTCATTTCTTCCTATTTATTTGTTGCACAATCAGCTCCTGGTTGGTTTGTTTATTGCTATAGATCCCTATTGCTGATCTTTTCTGGCCACCTAATCTTGAGTGGTAATGAGCGAAGACAGCTGTTGATGAAGGTCTGTAGTTTGTTTGAGAAGCTCTTTATGACACGCCACGTTTCTGATTCGCATGTATAGTAGCACTGACTTCCCACTGCAGTTGAAAATCCGGATCTTATTTCTCGTGCTGAGTTCTGTGTGCTGTTGACCTCCATACAGACTTGACGTGAGTAATGAAAGCTTGTTTTCCTTTCCCGATCCTCACGCTTTGATACCCTCATCAGTTCCGTCCGTCTGTAGTTGAAACAACGCTTCCCAGGTAGTTAGGTAGGTAGGTGAAGGAGGTTGCTTCTTCCAGATGTCTTCCACTTATGCTCACTGTTGTCTGTTGTTGTTTGCCACGAATCTTCATCACCTACCTCTGTTTTCTCTATGTACACCTGAAGTCCTATCTTTGATGCTTCTTCTGCCAGCTTGTTGCTTTTCACTTGCATATCTTATAGTTTGTGGGAAATCAGACATATACCATCGGCAAAATCCAGATCCTTCAAGTTTTCCGTTAGGGTCCATTTTATTCCTGTCTCCTCAATGCCCACCGCAATCTGTCGCACTATTCAGTCTACCGGCAGCAATCGATTTGCCATATACGGATTGCATTAAACTCCTGTTTTTGTTACTCGTCAATGCACTAGATAATCTTTTGTTTCACTACCCTTCTCTCTTCTATTAGTTTCCAAGTGTCCCCAGTGAGCCACCGTTGTCCCGTCTCTTCTTTCTGCCTAGAACTTCCATGCAGGTTAGATTCCACATCGTTTTCAAGTTGTCCCAGTGCTTTTCGACGCCGACCTCTTCGCTAGTATTGATCTGTGTCTCGGCTTTGTCCCTTATGCTTGCAGTGAAAATGTCCTGTATATCTTGGTCCTTCAGTTTTTGAGTGTTGAACTTGGCTTGTGGTCTATCTGCAGTTCCTGTTTCTCTGAAAGCTTTGAATTTGATTTGGACTGTCCTTTGTACGAGATAGTGGTCTGAGCCAACGTCTGCTCCTCTTCTTACTTTTGTGTCCAGTAGGCTGCGCCTCCACTTCCTTGAGATTGAGATGAAGTCAATTTGGTTTTTGGTTCTCCCATTTGGTGACATCCATGTAGCCTCGTGGATATCTTTGTCTTTGTATGAGCTGCAACCAATCACTAGTTCGTTGAAGGCGAAAGTCGGCGGAGGGTTCTCAATTTTCATTCATTTCTCCGAGACCTTCTCTATATGTGGGTGACAATCGACAACGATACTCAGTTTTCTTGTGTGTGTGTGTGTGTGTTAAAGATTGACAGTGATTGGAAACACTAGAAATAACTAGAATGGTGGCCACATTGCAAATTTGACTGACTGATAGAATTCACTGTGCATCAAAGAAAGGAATAGACACATCACATTAGTTACTGACTAATGTCCAATCGAGAAATATCCCATACAGTCCTAAGGAGGTCAATCGCGAACCCGAATAGTTGGCTCAGTGGTAACGTCTCTGACTGAAGGTAGCACTGAGTGACACGGGTTCGAATCCCAGAAGGGTGACAAGAGTTCCTTCAAGGATGCAGATACGCCTGCCTTGCTGACTGATGAGTTCCAACTAGCACGAAACGTAGGTGGTGGCCAAAGCTCCCTATGGCCGATTGCCGCCAACCATCTAATAAATGCTTAAGTTAGAGGATTTCATTATGAGCCGACATTGGTTAGAGAACCATTGGAAAAAAACAAGCTGGCAGTACTTAAAAGCTGTCTCGTCCTTGTTTGGGACCCTTGTGAGTACGTACAGCCAAAGGGTCCCAAACTAGGACGAGACAGCTTTTAAGTACTCTCAGCTTGTTTTCCAATGGTTCTTTAACTGATGTCAGCTCATGATGAAATCCTGTAACCAATCATTCAACTCCCTACAAACCAACACTTAAATACTCAAATATTATAATAATGTTGATGTATGGGATTAGGACTCATAGTTGATTAGATATATGTATGAATAACTAAATAAACAAATAGTGGCCAACCTAAAGTTCAGTAGACGATGTCTGTGAAATAGATGATCGGAACATAAAGTGCATTCTGAAATGTGAATATGTGAATATAATATGATACGGAGACGTGACATGGATAAGTGAAATGTTGTCAAAATAGTAGACCCGATAAAATATTAAAATATCTGTGATAACATGAAGTGAAATAAAATAAAACAAAAATCGGACATGGAATTGAGTCATTGAATTGAATTTTTGATTTTCCCGTCGATTGATTGGACCGAAGTGCTCGGTCTCAGGTTGAAATGTCGGCTTCTTGTGCAGATGCTTCGACGATGTCTGGGTATTTAATTAGTATACAATTGGTGGATGGTGGCTAGCAGTGGAATCCAGGATGCGCATTTCGTCCTATTTGGGACTCGTCAGCTGGATGTATCTGCACAAGAAGCCGACATGTCAACCTGAGACCGAGCACTTCGGTCTAATCAATCGACGGGAAAATCAAAAATTCAATTCAATAATTAATATGACCCGTTGCACAAGAGCCAGTGGCTCTCGTGGCCCAAGTGGTCTAGTGGATAACGCTTTGGCGTTTGAAACTATGGGCACTGGGTTCGAGCCTCAGTTGGAAACTTCATCACTCACTGAGAAATGCATGTACATCCAGCTGACGAGTCCCAAATAGGACGAAATGCGCATCCTGGATTCCACTGCTAGCCACCATCCACCAATTGTATGGAATTGAGTCGGATAACAAAGTTCTTCTGATGTGAATTACATAGTAAAAATTAAGACCATGATGTGGTAACGAAGGACATCGTACAAATTTTTTTTCTACAGTAAGTTCTGGCTTAATGTTATCTACTGACAAAGCCTCTGCTATGCGAAACAAATGCACTCGCGTCCTTTTCGGTAAACTTTGTCGAACTTTGTAGACTATGCATTAAACGATGTGTCAGGTGCTGCATCGTGGTCATTATCTACAGTATATTGCAATATCTATTAATGAATACCTCTACATTCTCCCTTGCCGAACTATGGACCTGATTTTATTATGTAATTAAAACAAATGCGGTATTGTCCTTCTCTCTTCCATGTTCGATTTTTGTTTTGTTTTTTTATTTTACTTTATGCTATCATATGCTAAAATTTTATCTGGGAGGAACCTGAAAGAAACGAAGTCCTTTACCGACTCGGGAAGCATCGTTTCAACTACAGGCGGACGGAACTGATGAGGGTATCAAAGCGTGAGGATCGGGAAAGCAAGACAAGCTTTCATTACTCACGTCAAGTCTGTATGGAGGTCAACAGCACACAGAACTCAGCACGAGAAATAAGATCCGGATTTTCAACTCCAGTGGGAAGTCAGTGCTACTATACATGCGAATCAGAAACGTGGCGCGTCATAAAGAGCATCTCAAACAAACTACAGACCTTCATCAACAGCTGTCTTCGCTCAATACTACTCAAGATCAGATGGCCGGCGGGAAAAATTCAAGCAACAGAAAGGGATCTCTGGCAATGAACGAACCGAACAACCCAGCAGGACCCAATTGGGCAACACAAATAAGCAGGAAGAAATCCAGGTAGATTGGATTAGCCATACTCTGAGGAAACCATCAACTGACATCATTAGACAAGCCCTCGAAAGGGAAGCGGCGAGTTGGTTGTCAGTGCGAGTGTGACATGGAGGAGGTCATGTGAAGAAAAAATGAAAGCATATGAGTAGACGTGAAGCCAGGTGAAAACGTTAGCAGAGAATCGAACTCAATGGAGACGTTTGGCTGAATCCCTATGCTCCTCTAGAAATTAAAGGAAATAATAATAAAATTTTGTTTAGCCTGTCATTTGGACAACACTTCACTCATCTATCTATGTCTCCATCATATTATAATTCACATATTCACATTTCCGAATGTACTTTATTTTCCGATCATCAATGGTTCTCTAAGTGATATCAATCTGTGGTCAACTCATAAAAATAATTATAATTATGCAATTCTATAAGTGAGGTTCTGTTTTGTATTTAAGTTAAAAATATTCGAAGTACGAATTGAGAGTATTAAATATAATAATAATAATAACAGTGAGTTTTTTTCAAACCTTATTGTCGACTCAGTTTGGAAATTTTAACATATTATAGATTATTGAATCTAATGTTCTGTTGATATAGCAGTATAGTGAGGAGAAATACGTAAGTAGGGATTTGGGTAGATTGCTCTTTGCCTTGTAGATGACTTTAAAGGCGGAGGCTATAGAGATAGGGTGATCATTATCGACCAAATGTTCTATGATCGCGCTTCTTATTGCTCCACTTCCACCTTTTCGTAGCCATGCAGGATAATGTTCTTGCACCCTCTTGGACAAAACTCGAGTCGAACGACCGATATACCTAGCTCCACAAGAGCAGGTGAATTGATCAACGCACATAGAGTTGGTCAACATTGGGATCTTGTCCTTCAGGTTATTGAACAGTAATGGTCGACTAGTAAAGGCTATTCTCAGAGAGGCAGCAGGGAATGTTCTTTTCAGGGACTGTGATATCCTTCGTTTCATGATATCGGAAGCTAAGTCCCCTTTGAATTCTAAGCTCATGTAAAGTATTTTCTTGGGAGCGGTTGATGAGTCAGGTTTTGTAGGCTTTGAATGTATATTCTTATCTATAAAACGTGTGGAAATCCATTTTCCATTAGGATTTTCCTCAAAGTGTATAACTCATCTTCCACAGTATCAGTGCTTTATATGCGTCGAATACGAGTGGCAAGCGGTTTTATAACACAGCTTGAATGATGTTCACACTTATGAATAAAATAAACAAATACAAACTAAACTGAGAGGATTATAAATATAAGAAGTACAATAACAATAAAGGTTGATGTTGTAAGGTTGGGGGAAATGGCTTGTTTAGTAGTGCAAAGAAGGTTAGTTAATTAGTTCACGCCTAACTACCATCCCATTGATTGGCTAAGATGACTAGTCGTATACCGGTCATACCATCTGGATCTGGCTGGCTGGCTGGCCAGCAAGCAAGCACTGCTGGTTGTTATGAGTGGTATTCAATCAATCAATCAATAGTACTTCGTTTTGCGAGAATAATATTAGCTTGTCTATTGACTTTATAGTATGCAGAGAAGTACTGTCACACCTGCTGTAAAAGAGCTAATCTACTACACAAAGATACGTGGATGTCACTTTCATTATATACGCAACGAGAACTGCGAAATCCATCACATCCTGAAAGTATTCAATCAAAGCCATCCTGCTATCCAGTTCATCTTAGAAGTGAAAAACTGAAAGACAAAAATATCTTTCCTTGATGTGTTATTCACATGGAGAGCAGACCGGTCTTTGAAATGATCTCTTTACATAAAATCGACGTGGACAGAACAACTGACCAACTGTCACAGTTTTGTCCACATAGTCAGAAAAGGGATCTTATCCGCTCTCTCTCAGCACAGGTGCGAAGAATTTGTAGTGAAGATAGTGTTGATAGCGAACTGAAACAACTAAAATAAACCTTCACAGAGAATCGGTATCCACTACGCTTCGTAGACGTCAATAGCAAAGTACGTGGAAGAAACACACAAAAATTCATAAGGTAACTAAAACAGTGTTGTACCGAAACCTAGAATTTAGGGATGACACTCGGAGTGAAATACTTAAAAATCATCTGACGAGATCACTGAGAAAAAAGGTTCTCTGTTGCCAGTTTACGAATAACCTACTCTTGGCGTTGACTGGTACCCCTTAGTGTCAAGGAAATGTTACCTGGATTGTCTAATTCCATGTGTATTTATATGTTCACACTCTCTTGTGGGGAGCTAAGTACATAGGATGTTCGTAGAGAAACATATCCTGCCGCCACTTCCGAGAGCATCTTCCAGTTTGGCTGAGCGAAGGAGAACGTAGAGGTAGAGATATGAATTCATCGGTATTGAAAAATATTCTAGATACTGACCACGATGCAGCACCTGACACATCGTTTAATGTAGAGTCCACAAAGTTCGACAAAGTTTGCCGAAAGGGACACGAGTATTTGCTTTGCATAGCAGAGGCTTTGTCAGTAAATAACCTATACTAGAAAATTAATCTGATGCTCACTAGCGACTGGCCCTATTCAGGCAGTTAACCTGAGGTTCTAGTAGGAAGTCGTTACCAGTAGGGTACATCAGGTTGAAGAGGAGGCAGTAACTCATCAAAGAAGACACTGTGAAATGGTCGCGCTATGTATCGTGAACTGGCGGAAGTTAGCATTCATGGACTGGCTGGCCATTGGATCGGGTCCCAGTGGTTGGTGAATGGTCTACGAGCTCGTTAGCTTAGCAACCAGAATGTCCTGGGTTCGAAACCCTTTGGCTGGTACGTACTGTGAAGAGTCCCAAACTAGACTGACGAAACGGCTGTCCACTACTCCCAGCTTGTTTTCCAGTGGTTCTCTAACTGATGTCAATCCATGATCAACTCGTAAAAATAATTATAATTATACAGTTCTACAACTGAGGTTCTTTTTTTTTTAATTTTTGTTTCATTTACTCTCGTTTAGAAGACGCTGATGCAACGCAGACAATCTGGTACCGTAGCCTTGGATAAGAAATAAACACGTATCAACCAGAAAATAAAAATTATTTATGTATAGATTGTATTCTTTGTAGAGTGATAATTAAAGCCCCCAACTCCCTCCACACAGACAGACTCAAACACACACACACACAAACGTATACCTTGTAATCTTGTATACAACCTGTATAACATTATTATAGTAGTACTACTATTACGATTTGCTGTTATTCTTACTATTACTACCTTGTGTTTTGAGTGGAGCATAGGTTTTTAGCAGCACACTTCCGTTGAAATGTCTTCTCGACTCAGGTTGTTTTTTTCCAATTTGGGCTCCACTTGATGGTGTTTTGGTGCGAGATGTTATTCAACCGTCTTCTCAGCGTATATCCCATTCATCCTCTATTCATTTCTTCTTCATATGTTTTGTGCAATAAGTTGATGGTTCGCTTGCTGCCGATCCGAGTTTATTGATCCTTTCCTACGGGCCGGCCGAATGGGAAGTGGTGAGTTAGATGGTGGTCAGTGCAGTGGTCTGTCTGTCTGTCTGGACTCAACATAGAACTTGGCACCGAAGTGCAGCAGTTCGAGTTGCCACGTTCCAAATAGCACACAGAGGTAGACAAGAAGATGAGTGAAGAGAATCAATAGAGTTTGACAAGTATAAGAGTGAAACAGAATGGATAATGGTAGAAAGGAATATGAAAGATTACAGAGACTGAATACATCTGCGCTGGCCATTAACAACAATTTTGAGCCATGTCACCTATTGTCTCCAGCCATTGATTCCTAGAGTCAGTCCCGAGGGCCCCAACCCGGAAGTCTCCATCGCCCTACCTGACTCAGTTTAACTGTCAAGGATTTCATGGATTGATGAGGCCATGTTTTTGTTTGGCCACCACTGGCTCTTTTCCAACCTTCACCTATATCAGCTAGTAATGCCCGTCGGGGGAGGCGACGGTTAGGCATGCGCACCACATGACCTAACCATCTCAGTCTATGTAACTTTATAGCCTCGTCGATTGATTTTCCCTGTTTGCCCAACACTCTACGCCTAACGTCAACATTACTAACATTACTAAACCACCTAACGTGAGACAGAGATCGCAGACATCTATGATCGAAAGCAGTCAACCTTTTCATGTCTTCAACGCGTATTGGCCATGTTTCAGAGCCATAGAGAAGGACGGAGCGAACTGCTGAGCAGTACACACGTCCATTGGTTGATAGCCGGATGTCACACCTACTCCAGAGATGGTGTAAGTCAGCGAAAGCAGCTCAAGCTTTTCGGATCCGTGCGATGGTACATAGAGGAGGGGGTGATGCGAGGAGGAGATGAAAACATTTGGGCAGACATGGAGTCAGTTGACATTGTTGACAGAGAACCGAAGGCAATGGAGACATTTGTCTAAAGCCCTATATTCCTCTAGGAACTAAAGGAAACAATAATAAATAGGACAGAAATCAGAGGCATAAAATTGAACAAGTTAATAGATAAGTTCAATACAATCCGTTAGTTTAGGAGTCCCTTGCATTAATGAACTTCTAGCCCAGTAGATTTGCAAGCCTACTATTCGTATTACTAATTGCAAGGATAATCATCATGATGCGATACCTCTGACACGCGAAACAGGAAAGAAAAACCGTTGACAAAACAGCTTTTACTGTTTCGAAACAACAGCGACTAGGCCCAGTATATAATATACAGGTTTTAAATGACCTTGAGAGACACTAGTTTCATTGATAAATTAGAACAGTTAACAACCATCATGAGAGGGGAAATACAAACAGCGCGTTACTGTATATAAATCTAGTCGTTTGAAACTGTAAAAATACTGGGTGTATATACTAAGTAAATCTTTCTGTAGTGAATGAAACATGTGGGATATATATATTATACACCATATCAATAGAGGACACAATTTGAAAGAACTTCTCGCCATAGAAAGCGTTATCACTGCTCATTAACAAGGTTAATTGGCAAACGGGAAGATAACAGTCCTTTAGACACATTTGGAGGCGAACCACTTGCAATTTACACCTTGAACATCTCGATCCAAGACAAAATACTGTCTAAAGTTAGGTAAATTGCGTTTTGATATCCTTGAGAATTACTCAGTCTGTTTTAATTGAACTTTAGCTTTTTTTCTTGTCAGTTGATTGGACCGAAGTGCTCGGTCTCAGGTTGACATATCTGTTGGCTTCTTGTGCAGATGCTTCGACAATGTCTGGGAATTTAATTAGAATTTAATTAGTGCATCCAGCTGAAGGACGAGTTCCAAACAGAACGAAATGTGCTTTATCCTGAACTCCATTGCTAGTCACCATCCACCAATTAAATTCTAATCACATGCCCAGATATCGTTGAAGCATCTGCACAAGAAGCCAACAGACATGTCAACCTGAGACCGAGCATTTCAGTCCAGTCAATCGACGGGAAAATCTAAAATTCAGTTAAATAATTAATATCACCTGACGCACAAGAGCCAGTGGCTCTCGTGGCTCAAGTGGTCTAGTGAAAAACAACGCTTTGGCATTTGAAACTATGGGCACTGGATTCGAGCCTCGGTGCGGAGAACATCACCACTCACTGGGAAATGCAAGCACATCCAGCTGGCGGACAAGTTCCAAACAGGACGAAATGCGCTGTATCCTGAATTCCACTGCTAATCACCTTCCACAAATTAAATCACTCATTCTTCATAAATTCCCATTTAGGCAATAATAAAAATACTTCTGGTATAAGTATGGAAGTTTCAGAATATAGTACAACAATAATTGAAAAGGAGGTATTTACACAGATAATATACTGTTCAATAAGAATGTGAATATTAAAATTAAGTGAAAGAGCCCTACAATAATAAGTTGGTAATGTCCTGCCTTACATACTTTTCAAGTTTTGTAGGTGTGTAGGGATTCGATTGATTGGTTACAGGATTTCTTCATCATGAGCTGACATCGGTTAGAGAACCAGCTGAAAAACTGATAGGGCGTACTGGATAGCCGACTGTTTCGTCAGCCTAGTTCGTGACTCTTCACAGCATGCCCACCGCTGGGATTTGACTGGCTGTATTCAGGTAGGCGGTTACATGGGTTCAAGTGGGAAGTTATGACAAGTCGGGTACAGTGGGTTGGGGATCTCAGTGGCCGCTAGCTCGCTAGCCTTGTAGCCAGAAAGTCCTGGGTTCGAGCCCTGCTGGTGAGTGTGTACTGCCGAAGAATTCCAAACTAGGCGCTAACGAAACAGGTCTCCAGTACTCCTAGCTGGTTCTCTAACCGAAGTCAGCTCATGATGAAATCCTGATGTAAAACCCTACACACTTTTGTCATCACATAAATAGTGTACTTGATAAATATGGTATTTATAAAGCATAAAATAATCGAGCAAAGAATATTCTTTTCGATAAATTCCTCTTCTGGCTCTACAATTATATACATATGTTTATATACATAGAATATTCTAGAATAGTAGTCAATAACAATAGTGGTGTTTTTTAAATAATATCGATTTGTAAAGTAAGACCACAATAGAATTACAGTTCATTAGAGATGCATAAATTATAAAAATAATAAAGACATAACAGCAAATAGAATATCAACCAAAATTAGGGAAATTCCATAAAAATTCAGGATCATTCAAACCTAGATTGCCAAGGTAATGATAATGTTTGAACTAACGTCTTTTGGATGCATGAATTAGGCTTGTAATATGGATCTCCCCAGCCATCCTCAGCAATATTAAGCAGTCGAACTCTTAAGGCAAAATTGAAATTCGTAGATATGCGGTAAATGACCCTGAAAGCATGGGTAACGTCAATCTTGTATTCTGTATCCACAAGATCTGACAGAATAGCGCTGCGAATAGATTTTGTTTGTCCTCTGCCTAACCACTATTCAGGCTGACGTTCGCAAATTTGACGAGAAACAAGCCTAATTGTACGGCCTATGCAACTAACTGGCTAACTCCACAGGAGCAGTTAAATTGGTAGAACACATGGAAGAGGCGAAAATAGGCAGTTTATCTTTTACTCTCGAACGCAAGAGAGGAGTGGTTTTGAATACACAGCGCAATTCGGCAGCAGGGAATGCTCTTTTACCGTATTTCTAAGGCGCTGTGTTAGCTTCCCGCTGATGTTGTCCCCGATGAACTGAATTTGTAAGAATAAGGCCTTTTTAGGAACTGTCGGTGCCTTGGGCTGCTTGATTTTAAATTCATATTCTTAGCAATAAACGTTTCAGGATAACCATTTTCACTTACCAACCGTTTAATATTATTAACTTCCTCATCAAGACATTCGTCCGAGCAAATTGCTCTTGCTCTGTTGCGGACCAAGCACTTTATCTGATTGCGTTTGTATTTCAAGGGCACGAATCTGAAAAAAATGAGTATACTGAGAGTTAGTTGATGTAGGTTTTCTATATACACTTCTTCTTATTGTGCCGTACTCTTTTCTGGTTATAAGGACGTCTAAAAATGAAATACTAGAATCCTTTTCTTTCCTAATAGTGAAATTCATTGCAAGATGAACCTCGTTAAATTCATCCAGGATGTTCTTTGCTTCCTTCTCATTTTTCATAATCGAAAAAGTATCATCCATGTGTCGACAATAGAATTCGAGTTTATTAGTAACATCCTTCAAAGTCCCATTTTCTAGTTTCTCAAGGAAAATGTCAGCTAGAATGGGTCCTAGTGGTGACCCCATTGCCACACCGTCGATTTGTCTATATAGTTCCTTATTAAATACAAAGTGGACATTCATTGTACATTTCAAGAGAAGCTCTTTCATCAAAAAGATATAGGAATGCCAACATCGATATTTCGTCTTTTCAGTTCTATGTATATAAACATATATATATATAATTGTAGAGCCGGAAGACGAATTTATCGAAAAGGATATTCTTTGCTCGATTAATTTGTGTTTTATAAATGTCTGAATGAATATTTTTACCGTAGTGTTGTAGAATATCAATAAGTCTTAACTTAACAGTCGATCCACTTGGTGACTTAGGCACAGGAACAATTTCAGTATCCTTCCAAGAAGCAGGGACTGTGTTAGCGGAAAACTATTCATCGAAAATACCAGTAAGAGAAGATAACATAAAATGTCAACAAATTTAGTGAGGATAATAGCCGGTACACCATTTAGGCCCAAAGAACTGGGTACGTTTCGAGAATTTGAGTTAATTGAGCATAGGGAAAATGGATACCCTAAGGGAT